ATTAATTTTAAAATAAAATTGGGGTATAAAACCACATTTTCTTACATATTAATAGAAAATCATGCTACATATAATTAATTAGTTGTATTTTTGAAATATATAAATGAAGGATACTTCATGCTAAGACTCTACAGTGGCCCTTATGATTATAATTAAAAACACCTTATAAACATTCAAGATACAATACTTAGCATCTGTGTATAACTCAGTATTAAATTATAATATTTCCAAGAATATACACTTAAAAATGCATGATATTACTGTAACCCCTGAGTCAGGATGCTTACCTCACTCTGTCACTAATTTGCTTTGTCATGTTAGGGAAGTCATTGACTCATTCTGTTGAGTTTCCTTGTTTATGTAATTGTGGAATTACATGATCAATTTTCATATGATTTTATTCATGAAATTATTGTTTAAAATAAATGCTTATGTGAATTCCAACATGTAAAGGCAATACAGGTTAAGTTACTCTGGTTGAAGGAGAGATGGGTAACTAAGATTGTCTGAAATTAAACTGCCCTGGAAAAACTAATTCAATGAATGAAGCTGGGACAGCATTATTCATTCTTAGTTGAATTTGTTTGTATCATGAAGCATTTCCTATTCATTCCTCAGAGGTTTCTTTGTAATATATTTTGTTTAACACATATCCTGTGATAATATCCAAACTCTACAGTTTCCCCAACACAGCCTGGACACTCAAATATCCCAAGCTTTGAACAAGGCTTCTCCAATGTCAAAGCACAAACTACTTCACATTCTTATACATCAGATAAGAGAACTAAAGTTAATGGCCATCATTCTACAATTAAGAGAGCTTGGCAGAGACGAAGAATCCTGTGTTTATATCCATTATTACCTAATGAGAGAGGCTTCTCTGAGCCTTCGTCTCCTCATCTTTGGGGAAAATCATTAAGTTTCTATAGTTCAACATGTTCCAAGAATAGGCTACAGTGGACTTGAAAATTTTAAACTTATGAAAATCCTAAGTAACATACTTTTAGGAAGTGCCACAATAAATAAATTTCCACAAATGAAAAGAGAATATCTCTAAATAAAAATATTTCTGCACACCACACAACATAAAGACTAGCTTAAAAGATTATCAACCACAGATCACAAAAGTATTTAAATTATGTATTTTATGAAATTTGAGCAAAATAGGGATGGAATGCTGAGAACACCACAACCAGCATGAGCCATAAAAACTAATCTATTATAATTTCATGGACCATGTCCTCACTTACAGATCTTGCAACAGCCTTCATTATAAAGTTTTACAATCCCTTCATTCTAGGAAAAGAGAAAAGGTATAAAGTAAAAAAAAAAAAAAATTACAGTGTTTTTCTCTTAACTTGAAATAAAAGACTAATCCTTACAATAGTTTTATCAACTATCACAAAGCCTTCATAGGAAAATAATCAGAAGTTAACAATTTTGAAAAAGAATTTCTTAGGATCAGATATTTAGTTGAACATTGCCTTGTCTCTACATTAATAGTATGAAAAAATACAAAAATTCATGCTACCTGAAAGAATATCTTTTAAATTTCCAAAATATTTAAGATAACAAAACAATAACATCAATAATAATAATTAATAATAGCTATTCTATGAGAACTTCATAGTTTTCCAACTCCAAGAAATAAAATATGCTAATCTATTCTAATTAAACTACCCTGAGTTTCAGAATAAAATTAAATGTTAAGGCAGCACATTTTTTTCAGTGCTTTATTACTCAAACAAACGCTACATCTCAAGATGTTTCTTGTCTAATGATAGATTAATAAACCTTTATGAATTATCTTTTGAAATTCTAATAGTAATTATTAACTGATTTTAGTCACATGCCAGTTGTGATTCAAATAAAATAATAATTTATTGTATTAAAGTGAGTCTGTGAAATAATCTGATGCAGTTCTTTCCAGAACTTAATTCTGTAGCTTTCCTAGACATAATTACTAGCTAGCCATTACTATCAAGTGGCATTATATATAGGGGGGAAAAATCAGCAAGACTGCTATTTCTCCACACAACTGAACAAATCTCATTTTTCATTAAGGGATTGTTATTGTCTAAGTAATTAACACTGAAAAGAGTTTTGTAAAATAAAAATTATATCGCTTAAAAAATCTACTCTCCTAATAGACACTTTAAAAAAAAATAGAGAATTGCTACAGCAAAACTGTAGGATCAGCGAAAGCCCCTAATTTTTGAATGGCCTGTGTTCAGAAAAGCAAAAGTAAATGTCACTGGGCCAGCACGCCTTAATGACACAATAAATCTAGGTGTTTGTCTAAAAAAAGAAGGCCAAACTCAATTAAGCAGCTCATTAATCTATTTTAAAAGGGAGGGTAGATTTGCTGAGTAAATGATTTTTTCAGTTATCCCTGTAGATGCACATAAAAACTTAGTTATAGGAAAGTATCTCCAAGGAAGTCAATTTTGGAGAATCATAAAGAACTCAAAACAGAAAACCAAAGAAATATAACAGGTTTTATTTATGGAAGAAGAGAAAACATTTACTACAGCAAATAAGCCACAATGCCTTATTTGTACACCCTTGGAAAACATATTAATGTGTACTTTCTAAATTACAGTTGATGCAGAATTTTCTTAGATCTATTAAAGTACAAACCATTTTGCATTCAGTTTCATTAAAAGGGGGGCAAACCATACTGTAGTTCAGAATCATTGCCCCCTCATCAGTCTTAACACACTTATAGGTGATGCAGTTATAGTGCCAGGTGCTTCCCTCCTAAAAACAAGAGAGGAGCTTATTATTGTACATATTCAAGTTAATTACATTTCTTACACAGAATATGTCCTATTCTACTTAAGGGAATCAAATTCAAGCCAAGATAAAGAACTTCCTGTGACATTAATATTTCATCTGAAAATGTCCCCAATTGTATCTCAAAATTACACACACACACACACACACACACACACACACACACACACCTCATTCATGTCTGTATGTGTTTGGCTTCATGTGGAACTGTGGTGTTATATGATACAATGCAAGAGAGAAGAAGGAAGTACAGAAATGTATACTTCTACAACAGAACTGACCAAAGGTTTTGCTCTAATATTCCCCCACTAATTTTAAAACAACAAATCACATCACTTATGCTCCTCCCTTCCTGAGATTTGTTTTTCTTCTTCCTACTCCCTTAATTATCAATTTTAAATGCATGTCTTTATTGAGTTTTTGTGCATTTTCACCAACTTTTTAAATGTGTAATGCTGTTTATTGACATAGTTCTAATTTTTCCATCTTGTAATCATTTTTAAAACCAATGTCCTTTCTTTAAAAAAAGTGGATAAATATAACAATTTGTTTCAATTCATTTTCCCCAGAACTCATTTCTTTTATTTTTTAATATTTTTTTTTATTATTTTAATTTTATGTGTATAAGTGTATTGCCTGCATGTATGTTAAGTGCACCCATGTTATGCAATGTCTGTGGAGATCAGAAGAGGGTGTCAGATCCCTTAGCACTACAGTTACAGACAGTGGTAACCTGTCACGTGGGTGCTGGGAACAGAACCTTGGACTTAAATGCTGAACCATCTCTCTAGCCCCTCATTCTTACTTTTAGGAAAATGTGAAAATCCATGTTAAAATTAATTTGAAAAGCAACTCAAATGTATTTTTACAATAGAAATAATCAAAAATTTAAATATAGCGAATATATTTTTGTGTATTGTGTGTATTGTATATGAGTGTGCAATGTATACAGAGGTGTAGGAAATGACATTTTTCAAATTTGATTCAATAATGTCAACTTAAGAAAGCACCATAGAGACCTACCCTCTAAGGAACACATTTTAGAAAATATAGAATTCATACCTCATATATAACTGACGTTCCATTTTCCATATGAAATTTGCAGGATATATTCTTGCAAGTTCCACAACAATCATAGTCACTGGGGGATGGAGTGTATATCTGGTGCTGTATATACAATGCCCAGGCATTGTGTTAGTCATACAACAATACAAGTATTTTAATGAATTAGTTCTGAAGGTGTTTCCCAACTACATACTCTCTCTCTCTCTCTCTCTCTCTCTCTCTCTCTCTCTCTCTCTTAAAATTTGTATGCATTTCTAAAGCTAAAATTGAGGAGCTTCAAACAGTAATTGATCTTCTGTTACCAACTTAGAAATTAAGTAGATGTTAACTTCTACATCTAGCAGGCAAACTCCATCAAGCAGGTGCAACAACCTTAGGTCAAGCAATCTAGCAAGCTGTAGATAACAAGACTTTATAAAGCTCAAGGCCACACATAGAAAAGTGAAAATCGCATGAAATAGACATATCATAAAATAACAGTGTTGGGCCAGGTGTGGTGGCACATGCTTTTAATGCCAACACTCAGGAGGCAGAGACAGGCAGGTTTCTGTGTGACTGAGACCAGCCTGATCTACAGATTGAATTCTAGTCCACTTTGGGCTCTGGGGAGACCCTGTTCAAAAACCCCCCAAAATATAATGTAATAATAATAGTCAAGGAATTATTCAAGTTTATAACTCATGCAGTATTAGCCAATTCAAAATTTGCAGCTGCCGATATTAAATTCACTAGCCCACCAGAATGACTTATAAGAGTACTTACATCTTCACAGTCTTTTGAACAGTTCACCATTGTAACATTCAAAGTATGAAAGTCTGTATGGTTATCTTTTTCTTCCAGACACTCTATTGTGTAACAGAAGTCCCCTTCCAAGTACTTTATCATAGACTGTCCATGATTTAATACTGATACTTCTTGAAATACACACACATCATCCTTTTCTAAAAATGAGTCAAGAAGGAAACATAATGCTGGCTTTTGTATTTGTCAATCAATGAAACTTATATGTAGGACTCTATTTTCCTTATGATGGACCAATTTTCAAAATCAAGTAAGATCTTTACCTTAAATATCATTAACAACCCAATAATTTAGCATACTTATCCCTTAATATATAATAAAAATTGATCTGTAAAGTCAGTTGTATCAACTTCTTCCAAAAGATAAATTTTATAGCAAACCATGGAGGTACAAGCATGTCATTGCTGTTCCTTTCTCAGACACTTGACTGCTCTCATAACACTGCCACTCCTGGAATGGATATAGACAGAAGCAATGTCTAATTCAAAAATAGGAGGTCTATTCATGATTGGATTCTGTAAGATTTTGTGACTTGTAGTTACCTTCTTTTATAGAATTGATTCCATTTGTGTGTGTGTGTGTGTGTGTGTGTGTGTGTGTGTGTGTGTTGCCTGTGTGATGCATCAGTTTATCTTAAAGGTGCTGCATTACAGTGGCTGGGAGAGGGATGAATAGAGCTCACAAGCTCTCCTTGCCTCTCCAACTCTGAACGGCAGCCTTCACTCATATAAGAAATTTAAGCCATTATACAAATATTTTACTTTTTATTAATCTACTAATAATGTGAAAATTCATTATTTCAAGGAAAAGCTAATTTTATGCTTTTCAATGCTAACACCTATCATAAAACAAACAGCAAAAAATATCCTCACAGTTTTAGACACACGTTTTTAGAATGATATATGAACAAGAATTCCAGTTTCAACTTAAAAATTGTGTGGAGAAAAATAATTCATTTTCTGTCCTATTATCAAATTTCTCAGAACATTTTTAGATATGAACTAAAAATGATACATTTTTATTCAAATACTTATGATTGACTTAATAGTTATACCATATCTCTAAATGAAAATAATTTTAAATTGATATAGGCTGAACAACAGATACCAATAATAATCACTTATTGTTTAAAAGTATTTAAG